GCCGGCTCCCAGCTCCCCGGCAGGAGCTTGCCCACAGCAACTTGCTGCTGGAGAGTAAATAGTGAGATGAGAAAAATCCCTCCTTGGGACGCGAGCCGTCCGAGGCGCCTGGCAGGCTGCCGGCCCCAGACGTCCTCCTGTGCTCGGCCAGATCCCCCCAAGACCCCTCCGACACCCCGGCTCGGCCGCAGGCACCTCCTGGAAATATTCACATAATCCCGGTTTTCTGCTCTTCCCCATTCCCTGCCACACCTGATTGAATACCCAATATTACTAACGGCGTAAATCCAAGGCAATTCAGTCCGTCCCAGACCCAGTTATCTTCCCGAAGCTTATTGCAGATCTTTATGACACAGGAGGGGACAGAGCTGGGGACGAGACCTGCCAGGACACCAGGCAGTGCTGGCCCCGCCACAAGCCCTCGCTGGGGTCCCGGAGAGCAGCCACCTGTGTTGGGGTCGGTCTCAGGGGACCTCGTGTGATTCCCCGGCCACGGGGCTGCGATCGCCCCCGGGGACGGCTGCGGTTGTCCCCTCCCCGGCCAACTCAAGGCTCGGAGCAGCTTGGAGACACCTCCCTGGAGAGCAGAGCAGCTTGGAGACACCTCAGTCCCTGGGCAGGACCCGGGGCAGCCACAGCCCCGTGGACGGGGTGGCAGCCGGGGCCGCCCATCCTGCTGCACCCCCCAGCCCTCCCCAGCTGCTCCCAGGGCCACGGGAGGAGGGTCCCCAGGGAGCGAACCGGGGCGGGGGACGGCAGCCATCTGCTCGGGAGCCCGGGGTCTGCGGGCTGTCGTGGCCGCGCCATGCCGCGCTGCGTCTGGAGACAGCCGAGTGACAAACGAGGTTAATGTCCCGCGAGCGGGAGCTGTCACTCCGCGTTAGGTCCCGGGTTTCACCCTCTGCAGCATCACGCTTCGGCATGCACAGCGCAGGGAAAGGTGCCGGCGAACCAGCACGGGGCCGCTGCGGATGCCGTGACCGAAGAGGCTGCTCGTGGTGACGAGGGGCATCATGGGCATCGGGAAGGGCTTGTCCCTCCCGGCCGTCGTGGTCTCTGCCCCGTGTGCCATGCGATGCCCGGGTCTGGTCCAGTGGGGATGGGAGGGCAGGGAGCGGAGCTGGGCCCTGGCAAACCACAGGGTCCCAGCGCAATGCGGCTCGGAGACCGGCACCGTGCCAGCGACCTGAGCCGCGCTCGCAGGAGCTGAGCTGCGGGGTGTTCACTTATTGAAGGCGAAGGCAGGGTTACCGGAGGGACCAAGTGTCGTGTTTCTGAAAGCACCAGCCCGGGAGCATCCAGCAGAGCCGGACGTGGCTCTGGGAAGACATCGAGCGTTGCGGACGCCCTTCGTCCTTCCCTTGTGGCCAGGATGTCACCGAGGACCGGGGTGGCCCCAACACGACCCCCCCGCCTCGGCCCAAAGCCGCAGCTGCCGCGGGAGCAGCGCCCTGTGCCCCCCGCAGACGCACACACCAGCACATGCCGGGCACAGGCTCCAAAGTAAAAGCCAACTTTATTGTCGTATAAAGTAAGAACGTAAAAGGTCCCTTAAACAAAACACACATTGGGTCAGATGGTCCCGGGTGTCCCCACACGCCGCGGGCACGAGAGCAGCCGCCCGGGGATGCCCACGGGGGAGCAGCGCCTGGGGCCGCGGTGCAGCGGGAGCAGGGAGCAGCGCCTGGGGCCGGCCGCTCGCCGCTCCCGGCCAGCTCCGGCTCCCGCCC